TTGCCAATTTGGAGACATAAGAACTTAAATTGAGAGACTTAATCTTGCACTAATCTAGATTATGTAAGATTAGTCAAGTAATTATATGCTAACTTAAGTTTATTAAAATCATTAAAATATGATTGTATTCTTTTCATTGATGAGCCAAAATTGAATCTTAAGTTCAATCTAAAACTCCTCTCAATCACAAAATCCACCTTAAGCTCCATAGCTTTGAGCTCAATGTTGCTACCAAATGACTGCCATACCTCTCAAATAACTAGTTATATATATATAATTCTTTTGTTGGTGTTTGTCATAGATAGTTGGAGATATTATCCCATGCTCAAGAGCCATTGATATAAATCTTGCCTTGAAGTTCTAGAATATGTATCAAGCTTGTTCAATTTCATTCTAACAAATATCAATTTCCTTGCTCTAGAGACTTCTATTTGCCCTTGTAGAGTAGCTATCTAATTTAGGAGGTATTATATCTAAGTTTCTATTTGAGGTTACTTTGCCATATCTTCCATACTATAATTTCTTTGTTAGACTCTACTACTATAACATCTTCTCTTCTTCTAGTTGACTTCTTAAAAATAACTCGTTATAACTCCAAAACAACATCCACTATGACTACAACAACTTACTTCTAACTAGAGAGTGGCTCTCAATATACTACTAAAGAATAAATTAATACTGGCTCTAATAGAAATGAAATGAGATTGGACTCTCTCCAAGATCTAAAATCCTTCCAATCTATAGCAACATAAATTTTGACATGACGTAATTAAAGTAGATCAGAACAAAATTAAACAGAAGCAAAAAAAAATAGAACATAAAAAGAAAAATAAAAATAAAAAAATAGAATAGAATATAACAAAAAAATACAAACTAAACTTTATTAAGAAAAAATATTCAATTAAATAGCCTTAATTAGTCCTATTTATATTTTATTCAACCATCTTAGAACTTTTTAAAATATTCATAATAGTAGATCCCATCAAAATAATTGCTTTAAGTCCTTTTAAAATATTCCATAATAGATTCTACATGGACCACCAACTTAATCTTAATTCTAAAAACTTCTAAAAACTTTTCAAAAATAGCTCCAACTACCTATTTCTATGCATCAACAATACAAATATCTTATCCATGCCTCATTACACATGTGATAGTTGTAAGTTTTTTTTTGAACACTAATACATTATATAAAGGTATTCATTTAGTCTTTTTCATAAGTCTAAATGACATTCTTGTTGCTTTTCTCAAGAAATATACAAGTCTAAGTTTTAATATAAGACACTCTCTTCACTTGCTATTAAACATAATAGAAAATAAATAAATAAACTTCATTGACTCATAAACATAAGGCCCTCTATTAGCCTTTTACATACTTGCATAAACTATTTGCTTAACCTCTCACATATGATAGCAAGTACTCTCATTGCCCTCTCACATAGAAGCAAAGGGTTAAGAAAAAAAAAGAAATACTCTTATAGCTTCTCACATAGAAGCTAAGACTACTTTGCTCACACTTGAGCTTAGGCCTAAGGTTCTTTATGCTCTGATACCATGAAGGTATTTGGGATGAATAAAAAAAAATAAAAGATGATGAGGCTTGCTTCTCACAATGCTTAAGTATTCTTAGTAACATATATTATACTGAGTACATCATACTGAGTACATACTTAATATGTACTCTGCATTATATTATGTATCCTCTATTTAAGTACATATACATTGAGTAAGTATAGTGATGACTACGTAGATTCTACTGAGTACGTTCATATAATAGTGTATACTAACTAGACAAGTAGTGACCTAAATACGTGGGGCTATGATTATACTAACAAGAAAGACTGAGGCTTCTCACTATCACCTTGGATTCTCTGCCTGCTTTCCAGAGAGTGTAACTGATGAATTACAGGATACAGACCCCCGTCACTTTTCTACGTGACACAGCTCATTGCTTTAGGATCCAAGTGAGATGGAGACAAGGACTAAGTTTTGGTGTAATTCAGGCTTGGATAGATCGCCTTCTGGGGCTTGGTCCACGATTGAAGAGGCTGCATCTCGTTTTAGTTGAGCTGTGCTGCTCACCTATTTGTCAGAACCAGTGATGAACGACGTTGGAGTGTACTCACCGCCTCCAGGAATACGCTTCATAATCCAGCCCATATTCAAACTGTATACTTCCTCGAAGCCTAAGCTTCACACAACAAGAAATCATAAGGTTGTGCTTTTAGTGAGTATGATATTGTCCTTCTGAACAGGGAAGCGCCAGCACAATCCAACCTCTCTACATGCTTCAATGTCATTCAAACTCTAGAATTTGCTAATTTTGACTAACATATGGCAGCTTAGTGGTGAGATTCTAATTCCAGCCGATTACATGACAATAGTGTAGAGCATAGTAACAAATTTCAGTACTAGCCAGTCCAATAGTCAAGTTTGATAAATTGCACCTAATTTGGTGTTTTGGCCAAAGCTTGCAGAGAAGTGTTGTTTCCCATGTTTCTTCTCCATCTGTAATACTTTAATAGAATAATATTTAGGATTTCCCACTGAGAAAATTGGTAGAAACTAAGATTGAATGAGTAGCTAAGACATACAATCAATATATATATATATATATATATATATATTAAATAGACCCAAGTTTTTATGAAATTGACCCACTCATTCTAACCATTATGAAAAAAAAACATGACTTTTAGATTTATTTCTCCACTATTGGATTTGCAACCAATAAAAACTAACCACATTTATCATGGCTACCATATTTTTCATCAAGAGTGGATTGATTTTGTAAAAGCATGGATCTATTTAACATTATATATATATATATATATATATATATATATTTATATATAATTTTATTTAAAATATTTTACTTTATTTAAATTAGAGACAAAAAAATATCTTAGTCAAGAAGACTAAAAAAATCATAAATAATAAGAATTTACTATTTAAATTATTATTTTTAGTTAAAAATATACTTATACGTTTGATTATTAAAAAATCATTAGATATTTTATTTTTATTATTATTATTACTATTTTATATATATTAAACTAAAAATATGTCAAAAGAAGAATTCAAGAACCATCATGCACTAGTACAAAACAAGCACCAATCTTGCCAAAATAATCATTAAAGATTGATTCACTTGAACTTAAATTCACCAAATTACTCAAAAATATAAACAACAAGCTAATAATTTTAATTACTTGAGAAATATTATGTTAAAAAATGATAATAAAAAAAATTATGTTTAATCATTTAAATTAGGATTTTTTACTTGAAAAAAGTCTATTTCATTTACAATTGTGGATCCAACTATAATAATAGTATATTACCACTTTTTAGTAATTAGAATCCAAATAATTAACATACCATTACAAAAAACTTTCTTGAATACCAAGTTTTATATTAATAGTAATAATAATAATCTATTTATACAAAATTATCTAAATTCGTAACAACAACATATAATTTTAAAATAGAAAATGAATCAATCTTCTAATAGTTACAACCATTTTTTAAAAATTAAATAGAGCTACAATTTAGAAGTTAGAATAAAAAAAGAAATAAAGAAAATCCTAATTTTTTATTTTTATTTTAGGACTTCCAAAAAAGCTTAGTTTTTTTTGCATGAATGCTTCTTTAACATAATAGAACACCTATTTGAATTTTTGTATATGGTCTTATAAAAATTTATCAGAAATTAGGTTAGGCTTATATGTTGACAATATTGACTATGGCCCATATAATTATTTGGTTCATTAAGCTAGATATACAATAACTCCAAATTATATTAAAATAGCTTAGAATGATTCTAACAAATTATTTTATATAGGTACTATAGAACTAATAGACTAAATTAGATGGTTATTTTTTATAAAAAAATAATAATATATAAGAAGAAGAATAAACTATATATACATATACATATATAAGCATCTATATTATTAATTAAAGAGATTCTTATTCTTTCTTCTTATTTTGAAAAAAAAATTAGATGAATTTGTTGAATATAAATTACAATAGTTTTTTATTCTTTCTAAAAATATCATCAGTTATAGATATACCTACTAAAAAATACAAGATTAATTTTGTGAAAAAATATGTTTAAGAAGATAAAATAAAAAATTAGTTCTTGGGCTTTTGTATCACATAATTTATGTTCTTACAGCATTATAATAGGTTATTTAGACAAAAGACTATTATAATATTGTAAAATATTTATATTTCGTTTTGTGAATTATTAAAACTTAATTATTATTTAATAATATGTATAATTTCATTTATTTAAATAAGATAAGTAAAGAATATGATTTTATATTAATCTTATTAATTTTATTAATCTCTCTTAATAAACTTATTGTTGTACTTCAAGAGAAGATGGACCATGCTTTTAAAAAAAACAATGTAACTTAGAAGTTATCAAAAGAAACCAATCTACATTACTATCATTTTGATTTTTGTCAAATAATAATAGCATAATAAGATAGTTTTAATTTTTAAGAAATGTATAAATACATAAAAATTCATAATTGATAGTATCATTAAATACCTTGAAGATTGTTATTATATGTCTATTCTATAGTTAGAAATGTATCCTATTGTATTACATATATCAATTACATTCAAATCCAAGTCCAACATAACTTCTATTTTTTTATTTTTTTATATTTTTTATCTCCACCAAACATTGTATGATTGACTATGTCTAAGTTGATAGAAATTACTCATAAACATTGATATTAAAATTGGTTCTTGTGGTCACAATATTTTTCAACCTCAAACTAACTTTGTAGATTGATGTTTGCTGCTATTTATTGTATATTCCACTTTGACAAGCCCTACCTCCACTCTCAAATTGTTATATATATATATATATATATATATATATATTTTTAGTCCTCTTTCTCCCATATGATTACTATACACATGTTGCAACATGAGACGGACAGAGAAGCCTCTCCATTCCACACGACGTACATTACATGACCATCTCATATGAAGAAATCCATTAGTCAATATTCACTTCAATATGCAATGGAGTTTAAGAATCACTAATACCAGAAACAAAAAGCTTGACTACCCTCAAAAGATTTTTGTTGATTTTTGTTGTTGTGAAGCTCCCAGGATGCTGAGCCCCCGGACTGTGGGTGGATACAGTCTTCTCTCCCTCGTGGACTCTTCACTAATGTGGGTCCTCTTTACTCTTTTCAACCTGCTCACTACCAGGATATACAAGCACCACTGTCTTGGTATGAATGACAAAAAAAAGCTGCCAAACAATAGCATGATGATCCAGATGACACTGTTGGGTGAGCACTTGTTCTCGTGCTGGGGTCGAGCAGACAATTCAGTTATGATTATCAGCTTGCAGCCATCTGCACTCCAACACTGAAACAACATGGAATACATTCGGAGCCAAGTTGTGAAATTGCTAAACTGCTGTTGTCTTGATGACAAGCTTTCGTGACGCTTCCGTCCTTTTACCCATGATCAACTTCCTGGCCTTTCGGCAACGTTTCGCTACAATCTCCATAAGTCCCTCATGGAGGCCCTTGTTTTCAACTGTTGCAGCCAGTTTTGAAGACGCTGCTTGGGGAGTATGCTCTCGTGGTGGAGTCTTCATGGTTCCAATCCCAAGAAGTTGGTAGCGTCCATCTGGCCTCATCTCCCACGCATTTCGACGGTCGCACAAGCAGGCATCCAGCATTTCCTAAGGTCACCCAAAAAGACAAAACATCCGTCTTAGATGACCTTGGAATAAAACAATCAACTTTGTATAAAAACTTGAGCAGCTTTAAGTGGATTTGCAAGAGATGCGAGACAGTAGGTGATGGTGGTGTATTTCACCTGTAGTTCCTTCTGCAAAGGCTCAGCTTCAACGGGAACCACGACTTCGACTCGGCGAGTTAGATTACGATTCATCCAATCCGCCGATCCCATGTAGTACTCGGCCTTCCCTCCTGCCAAGCACAAAAAATACACGTTTGAAATATGAAAAACGCTAACAGATAATCGTGCCGCTAAAAACGATTTTCAAAGCGGTTGTGATCATATCGACTTATTTGCAAACACGGCATCACCATAACGACAATTACTTCTAAACTGTTGCACAAAAAGCATAAGCTCACCATTCTCAAAGCGCATGACTCGATGATGCTCTAAAAACCTTCCAATAATACTGACCACTCGTATGTTATCGCTGTATAAATCCACCAATGCCAACGTACACATTCATATATTAGGAAAGCATGAGAATATCGTTACCTATAAAGTGGCAGAATGAGAACCGTACTAGTTAATACAATCTTTAACCCAATAATGAAGCTGACATAAAAATATGATCGCCTTAGATGAATACAATACCTGACATTAGGAATTCCAGTGCGAATGCGACACATGCCGCGAACTATACAGTCCACTTTTACGCCTGCTTTAGAAGCTTCGTACAACTTTGTTACCATCACCTGCCATGGAAGTGTTTTTGTTAGTCCACATCCCTCTCCTCCACAAGTGATTTTTTCACGTATCAAAGCTTCAATCCATATCATTTCAGTTCTTATTACAAAACAGTAACAGCTCTCTGATATCCAATAAGAGGGAAATGTCAATTGTGAGGAGAAGAATATAAGCTATACCTGGTCATCAAGCCCGTTACATTTAACGATGATGCTAGCAGGCTTTCCCATCTGGGCATTGACAATCTCCCTATCACAAGTTCACGCCACAATAACAAACCTTAAGAATGCTGGAGCATATTGAGCACGACATACCATTTGCAATTCAAAAAGAAGCCAAACATTATGTCACCTACTGATGGTTACCTTTCTATGAGCCAAACGAACTCATTTCGCATAGTTCCTGGTGAAACCAACAACTTAAGATAAGCCACCTGCAGAGCCGCACCAAAAGGTTTCATTTTCAAGCAAAACCTGTGACTATCACGGTAAAGCACACGCACCCAAGAGTTACGGTTAACCTGCTACTACTCTTCCTTATCTATCTACCTCTAACGATATTAAAAGTTACTCAAAAGGAAATGATACAGCAATGATTGTTGGTGCGCCAAGATATCTCCGAAGTTCCAAAAGTATTGCAGCATTGCACCTGTCTGTGATAACCAGTCAAATATTTAAAGAGGTTTATAACGTCCATCCCCAGATCAGGATCGCAGCTGCAAACAAAGGATAACCAATTAGCACTTTGATACACCAATTTATGAGCCTTCCTTATCACACGAAGACCATATGAGAAGTGACCACTTCTGAAGCACATCAGCTAGATGTTAAAAGCTGTGGAAAGCAATCAAACCTGAGAAGGCCGAAGTCTGTGTACACTGATGCCGTTCGGGGATTATAATTTCCAGTTCCTATATGGACGTATGTTCGAAGTCCGTCATCTTCCTGTCAAACGCATAATAAATCACCTTTCCTGTGACTGTGTATAAGTGACTCGCAGCACTGGGTTATCAAGTGAAACGAATGTGCAGTGATTAATGAGAATATAGAATCGGTCGGCAAACGTAACTCCAAAAGTACCTTCCGTACTACCAGGATGCATTTACAATGCGTTTTGAGTCCTATCAGTCCGTATACAACGTTACAGCAGGCATCCTGCACGGACCATAAGTTTCATATTGTAACATTCTCTGATGGCCAGCACAAAAATGCATAACGAAACAAATACTATTACAACAAGTTTCGACGTCAAAAATAATCAATAAATAAATGAACTCACCCTCTAACACTCCCTCCCTCCTCCCACCCCCCCCCCCTTTTTTTCTTTTTTCTTATTTACTTTATTTTTTCTAGCTTGTATTCTGTTTTTGTTTGTGTTGGTGGTTTAGAAATAAAGAAAGAAGTAATTTAACGACTTACTTCCAACTTTTGAGCAAATCCAATATTTCTTTCTTCATCAAATCGAGCTTTTAATTCCACCAGCACAGCCACCTGAGTAGGTAAGCAAACCATTCAATAACAATCTTACACAAAAGAAATAAAACAAGTGATAACAGCGCTGATCTTAATGAAAGGGTTGATCCCAAGGAGAAAAACCACACTTGGCTCACGCATGACAGTAAAATGCAATCGTCTATCACATAAAGCAGGCTCAAAAGTGAATGTCATTGAGCTATACAGACCTGAAATTGTAAAGCGCACAGCTCAAACTAACCTGCTTTCCGGACTCAGCGGCTTTCGCTAGTGCAGAGATGACAGGACTATCATTGCTAGTACGATAAAGAGTGGCTTTAATGGCCATCACCTGCAATCTTCAAATATTAGAAACGTCAAGAGGGGTATCCAGCAACGGTTTTTTATAGATTAAATGTAATATAGGATAATTGCTAACGTGAAAAGCACCAACAGAGACTACGAGGGTACTAGTTTGTGTGAACATCTAGAATCAGTCAAGTCAACCTGAAGGCAATGCCAACACAAATTTCGCAAGCTATTACCTATACATTGGGTACAACCTACTTAACGCGCTGGATCACTTTGTACCTTCGGGTCATTTGCGGCTGCTTCTACAAAGTGTTGGATACTTGTTACAAAACTGTGATAAGGATGATGAAGTAGAATGTCTCCTTTCCTTATAACTTCAAAAATATCAGCCTGCAAACAGTCACCAGATAGAATCAGTAAACATCTTTACCTTGCGAGAAGGTGAATGCGACAATAGTGTAGTTTTATCAAGTGCTAAAAAAAAACGGTAGCCTTTCAATTAATGGATAGTACACTTGAAAAGGAAAATGGAAGAGTAAACTTACTCCCTGTATTCGTGGATGAGTCTTAGGGGTCCAAGGTGTGTAAACAAGAGATGAATTCACCTCAAGCTTCACTGGTAATGAAGCCAGCTCTATTTACAGCAAGCGGATCAAGCTATTAGGGTACAGAAACCACTTCAAAGTATCTCCAAAACTAAATAAATAATATCCGCCATCAAACTCTTGACTTGGATATTATAATCACAGATCTGGATTTTGGTCATGGAGTTCATTGAGCAGGGAAAAGACCATGCAGTTGGTTTGAGCACCTTTCAATACAGTTTCTGACTAAAAAAACAGTTCACTGAACCTTTTAAAGGCTTCTCACCTCCCAATGCAATGGGTCCGCAGACAGCGTAGACATCGTTTAAATCATTAAGACCTAGCTCCATAACCAACCGCTGAACAACTTCTAGAGGCATCTCGCGGTCTACCTCCAGCCGTACAAAAGGAGCAAATCTGAGTTCTCTCATCTGATATAAGGCTCAGTTAGTGGAATCCAACAGAAGTATACTTCTTCAAAACATGCTCAGAAAGTACAAGTTTGTGTGGGCAACAGCTACCACTTGAGAAAAGAGTATGCTGACCTCGTCAGCTATCATCTCCAGAAGGTCTTCAGCCTCCTCCTCATTTCGAGCAACATCTGCATTACGAGTCGTTCGAAACGCGTATGCACCTTTGATCTCCATTCCACCAAACAGAAGATCCAAATTGTTTATTATAATATCCTCTACTGGCACAAACGCATTCCTGTTGTACCTGATCGGATTGATGTCCAGTCCGTGTGTTAATGGTGCGAACACAGAAGTAAGCACATTGAACCAAGTCTTCACACTTATGTAAAGTTGAAACAGACCTTCAATTAGCAGTTTAAACTTACGATTTACTAAACGTACTCATCAGTTTCAGTAAATTCCAAGCTCTTCCATCGCTCCAATCCAGATGGTACAGAAACAATCGCAAATTGAACAGCATCATCATAAGGATCTCTGAGAACCTGTGCATCCCACAACGTAGAACAATCCTATGAAGACCATGCAAACTTTCGTTTGTCCAGAGCTGTTGAAAGATCATGTAGGCATCTCGAAATCAAATTTCAACACATAGAATCCAATAAGAATGACAGAAACACCTTCGTACCACCGCAATGCTTAATGTCAGGTTACCAATGTAGGGAAATGGATGTCCAGGGTCCACTGCTAAAGGCGTCAGGATGGGCTCCAAAGCTGACTTGAAGTACAATCTAAGCTGAACAGTAAGAAGTTCAAGAAAATTGAGGTGACATGAACACACAAGTGGATCTTTTTTATACACAGTCCCAAGGAAGTGTCGTTACAAATATATGGTCAACTAACATAGAAACCTCAAAGAATGAAAATGACACGATAAAAAACATGAAATTTCTCATCGATACAAAACCTGCAACGAATCCAGTGAAACCACTGTCAGATGTGCGCGTTTAGACAAAGTACCTGATCTTTCTCATGCAAATGAAGTCCATCATAGTCAACCAGCTTTATTTCCTTCTTGTTGAGTGCTGGTAGAAGTTCCTCGGTTAGGCAAGCAATTTGAGTGTCCACCATCAGCCGCACGTCCCTACATCAAAAGAGTTCCAGTACCTTATGAAATATACCACACACAAGTGTCTTGAAAAGAGCTGGACGATTCGGGCAACTCTGCCGGAGCCTACATTCAATGACGTAATCCACCATTTCATCGTTTAACAAAACTGTAGCAGATGATGTTCGTACCGCGCAATATGCTTTAGCTGTTGCTGAGGAGTCCAAGCCATTCGCGGCTGAAGCTTGATGAGATTTTCCACACCTGCAGCTTCTTGCCTCTTTAGAGCTCCAACGCGCTTACAAAAAAACTCGTCTATATTACAGGCAGAGATAGCCAAAAACCGCAGCCGCTGCAAATTACAAATGTATGTGGGAAAATACACACATGTAATTTCAAAGTCTATAAGTTTTAAGCTGAAGGCTAAACTTCGCACATACTCTTCTTAGTTTCTCCACGTAACCACAAACCCCGTGGCTACTTTCGTCAGGGGAAAAAGATGCAATAATGGCCATCTTGAGTAAAATACCTCAAAGAGCGGAACATGTACATCAAGCGCCATATGCAGCACCCGCCAATTGAAAGCAAGCCAGCTACAAACCAAACTAAAGGTGTTAGCACTGACCCTATAACAACAACATCGTAGACGACCAAACATGTAGGACATTCTTTGGAGAAATTCCACTAATTTCGTACACAAAAATGTCCCTCAATCTAACAGAATCTAATATATTGTGACAGACTAAGTGCTCCATGCTCTTCACAAAGGGCAAATGATAGAGAAGCCACTGCACCTTAGCTCTTTGTTGTAAACCAAATCCGCTACAACCAGTGCATCTAATCCAATGTCTGCAACGTCGGCTTCGAGTCCCTCTTGTTTTTGCAGCGGCATGACAACATTCCCCAACGCATATGGCTCGCCCAGCTCATCAGAAACCTCAACAATTTTGGATGCCCTCGACTTCCTGGGCTTTGGTTTGGTGTCGGATACCTGTGTCAGTCTTGTGAATGAGAACGAGTATGCATAATCACACACCTCTTCCTCTGCATAGACTACCGACAACTGAAAGTTATCACTTAATGATAATCACACCTCACACCCACGGAGGCAGCTACATGATATAGTGAAAGATTGACAGCAAAACTGAAGGAGGCAGGGCCTCACCTTGAAATTCGAAGCCTGCGCTGTGTCATCCTGTTTCTTAAGACCCTCTTCGGGCAAGACCAGAGTACCAAACTTCAGGTCAAACCCACCCAAAAGATTCACTGTCGAAGCTCCATCTTCCGAAAACCCGTCACCGTTTAGACTCTCTCTCCCAGTCTCACCAGACTCTGCAGAGATCTGGCTCATGACATTATCAAAAACTCGGCGGCCTCTCCTGGGCAGATGCCTATTCTTACTCTAACTCTTCCTCAACCACCAAACCTCACTCAACTGACCTAATCCATCTCCAGGTTGAGGACCAGGACCCGAGCACGATGCTCCCTCAGAGGCTACAGATTGCATTCTAGCAGCATTACAAATGTGGGTATAACAGAATATTGACTTAAAACTCTAAGAACGCTGATAACTGGAACCAAACAAGCAGGAACCAAACAAGCTAACACCCTAGGTGACAAAAAGTCGACGACACATCTAGTGCCAGCCTAGTCAAAACCAAGCTCCAGCATCTAGCGTCCACCACTAATCACCATCCCATGCAGGAAACTAGAAATGATGGCACTGCAAAGCAAAATCAGAATCTAAGACTCTAAGTTAGATACCCATGCTGAGGTTGAAGTGCAAGACATGGTCTTTCACTGCTCATTGCATACACCACGAGCACTGCATTATTGTTGTTGAGAAAAGACACAAAAGTAATAGTAAGTCATACACACACAAGAGTAGTAGTAAGTCATACACACACAAGAGTAGTAGTAAGTCATATACACAAGAGGGTTTCTAAGGAGAGAGAGGTTCACACTCAAAAATCTATTGATCTCGTTGTGTCTCGTATACAAGTAGAGAAAAGAGAAGAGGATAACAGTACTTCTCCACTAGACTCTAAATACTGGAGCTACAGTAATTACTGTAGTCTACAGTAAATATTATGGAGAGTACCTGCTACATTTAATGATCTCAACACTCCTCCTCGTTCATCATAATATTTAAATAATATAAAATTTGTATAGAATTATGATCTATAATTTTTTGTGATCTTGCAAGATCAACAATTGTTGCCTCATTAAAACCTTATCTAAGAAAACCTTATTTTATTTAAGGACAAAACCATAGATGAAGGAAAAAGAGTACAACATCATTTTCTTTAATTATTTAAAGAGCTCATTAACTTTCTTATTCAAGAAAAGCAAGTCACCGCATACCAATGCCATAAGTAAGTCGACGATGGTTGCTTAATGGGAGAGCTTTGGTGAAGAGATCAGCAAGGTTATTTGTTGATTCAATTTTCTTAATTATAAGTGCTTGATCAGTAATCAAGTCATGAGTATAACTAAAATACTTTGGATCACTATGCTTTGTCCTATCGCCTTTAATGAAACCAACTTGCATTTGTACAATACAAGCACTATTATCTTCATACAAGATAGTTGGAGAATCATCATATGAAAATCCACAGGTTGTTTGAATGAATTTATCAATTCATCGCAACCAAATACATTCTTGAGATGCTTCATGTAAGGCAATAATTTCTTCATGGTTGGATGAAGTTGCAGCTATTATTTGTTTCACTAATTTCCATGATATTGCAACTCTATGTCTTAAAAATACATATCATGTTTGAGATTTAGCTGTTGTAATATCAGATTTATATCCTGCATCACAATATCCAACCAATTTTGGATCTGCGGATTATGTGTAGTATAATCCCAAGCCTTCAGTATCTTTTAAATAACGTAATAAATGTTTGATGCCATTCCAATGTCGTAGTGTTGGACATGCTTTATATCTTGCAAGAACACTAACTGCAAATGCAATATCTGGTCTTGTAGATGTAGTTAAATACAAAAGTGCTCCAACCGCTGCAAGGTATGGATATTCGTCTCCCAATATTTCCTCTTCCTCCTCGCATGGACGGTATGGATTATGACCATCACGACCACGTCCAACCATTGGTGTAGACAATGGATAAGCATCAATCATATTAAATCTTTGCAAGATTCGTCTAATATACGTTAATTGGTAGAAAAAAAAGCTACCATCTGTTAGATGCATAATCTGAAGATCAATGCAGAAAGTTTTTTTTCCTACCATTTTCATCTCAAATTCACGTATAAGTAGGTTTGTAGCTATAACACATGCAGATGTAGTGCCTACTAGGTTAAGATCATCAACATATATAGCGATGATCACAAAACCAGTTTTATCTCGTTTGATAAATAAACAAGGGATTAGTGGATCACTTATAAAATTATTTGTAATTAAATAATCTCAAAGACGTTGATGCCACATTCGTCTGGATTGTTTTAAACCATACAAGGCCATACATAATTTAATACCACGATATTTTCTTGGAGCGGGTTATTTGGCCTTGAGCATCTTGCTTGCGTATTAATATCATTTTATATCCCACAGGGCGAGATGTAAGAGTGTCTACAATTGGACCAAAGATTTTTCTCTTACGCAAAGAGGCATACTCCTCCTCAATAGCAGTTTTTTATTTTGACCAATCTGAACGACACATCGTCTCTTCGATAGTTTGAGGTTCAGGATCATCTTCCTCACAAGAAAGGGCTTCTATAATCATATATGCAAATGATTCATCTACTGTAATAGATGGTCTGTCCCAATCATCCATGCCAGAGAGAAACTAAGATAGATGATGCAAAATTAAATATAATGGGAGGTCGAATCACAATTTGGTATAAACCATTTTCTGTAGTATAAGCTTTTTCAACAACTTTATGGTTCTTCGCAAGAACCAAAATCTCTTTTCTATTTAAATTGGTGGTTGAGAGGTAATAACCATTAATACGCACATCTCGGTAGCTGATCAGACTTCGAGGTGCTAAGGGTGCAAACATCGCATGTTTACATTTTATGATGGAACCCGCAGGTAATTTTACCATCAATGTGCCCTCTTGGAAACAAAACGTATTTGCTTCAGCCATGGTCATCATATTTTTAGTTTGCCAAGTTGAAGATTTTTCAATAAAAAATCATCTATCTCGCAAGATAGTATGTGTTATTGCAGAATCAAAGAGCGCATCATTTGATTTGTCATTAGAGGTTCTATCATTCATATAAGCCTCTAAGTCATCAACACCAATTGAATCCATGGACGCATCCATGGTATGAACTTCACGAGCCTCAATTCGTAATTTCTTATTTTCTTGGAATATTTTAATAAAATATTCTGAAGTATTGCACGCATGTGCTAAATATCCAACCATTCCACACTTATGGCAAGAATGCATCTCTGATTTTTGTTTTCTACTATAATTAATACTAGAACATTTATTCTTTCTATATGGGTAGAAATGTTCTTGACTATGACTACCCTAATACTTATGAGCACGTTTTCCATGTTTATATGATTTCTTTTTAGACTTTGAAATATTAAGTGCATGAGATTTTGGAACTATAGTTCCAATAGGACGAGCTTCCGCATTGCACAAGAGTAGCTCATTTTGCTTCTCCGCAAGAAATAGATAGAACATGAGATCAGAATGACTCTGAAATTTTATGTTCCTGTATTGTTGTGCAAGCATAGCAAATACAGGATGAAATGTAGAGAGAATTTTCTCAATCATTTCTTCTTCAAAAATGCTTTGTCTAGATAATCATAATTGTGAGATAATACTATATATTTCACTATTGAAAGTATTTAAATTTAGAAAATCCAAGACACATAATTGTGTCCAATTATGACGTGCATGTGGAAGAAAAATGGTCTTTTGATGATTAAACCTCGATTTAAGATTCTTTCAAAGTTCTGCAGGATCTTCCATTTCCAAATATTGATGTTGTAATGCAGGTACAAGATGACGACAAAGGAGAAGAAGTGCTTTCCAACGAATAGCAAGAGATATAAAAATACTTATTGTAGGAGATTCTTCAAACATAATGGCATCCGAGAGTTGTTCTGTAAATAAATTTGCTTTTGCCATTTTTGCCCATAATAGATAATTGTTTCCATCCACAATCAATATTAGAAATAGAAGAGCTTGAAAATATTGGAATGTAATAATAATAGTTGGAACCATAGTAGAAGCAGTTGAAGATGTTGAAGCACTCATTATAAATAAATTTGTAAAGAAAATACAAGATCAAGTAGAAAAGTTGAATAAAACATACTTTAAAATATAAAGTCAAATAAAATGATAAACTTGAACTTGAAAAAAATAAATATATATATATATATATATATATATATATATATATTTTTTTTTTTTTTTTTTTAAAGAGAGAGTTGTAAATTAAAGCAACAGAACAACAATAAGATGGCGGCAGCAGGCAGCGGCATTAAGGCGGTGATGGCGGTGGGCGGCAGCGTCAGCAGCGATAGGGTGGCAGCAGCGGATTCAACGACAGGTGCGGGGCGCAACAGGGAGCAAGCGTAGGGTTGAGTTGGGCTGGATCAAGTACTCAGAGCAAACAAGGCAGGGAGTGGAACAAGTGCTCTAAGCAAGCAGCTAATGTGTGAGGGACCAACAAGAAGAACAAGATCATGATGTAGACACTGAGCAAGGATAGCAACAGGTTTGAAGAGTCAAAGACTAGAGCAAAAAATTAAGATAGTGTATAGAAGAGAATCATGCTGATAACGTGTTGAGAATGTTTAGAAAGACACAAGAGTAATAGTAAGTCATACACACACACAAGAGTAGTAGTAAGTCATACACACACACAAGAGTAGTAGTAAGTCATACACACACACAAGAGTAGTAGTAAGTCATACACACACACAAGAGTAGTAGTAAGTCATACACATAAGAAGGTTTCTAAAGAAAGAGAGCTTCACACTCAAAAATTTATTGATCTGGTTGTGTCTCTTATACAAGTAGAGAAAAGAGAAGAGGATAAACTGTACTTCTCCACTAGACTCTAAATACTGTAGCTATGGTAATTACTGTAGTCTACAATAAATATTATGGAGAGCGCCGGCTACATTTAATGATCTCAATAATTGTGATGTATGATCAAATTCGTGGTTTTTATTTTTTTGATTTTTTTTGTATTTGTTGTTTTTCTGTTTCTAGAGTGAAATTTGTTACAATGCAGAATCTATCAACAGGATCTGAGAGTGCGGAAGGGAGTGGCGCATGGATTCTGCATGTGGGTGGCAGATGGTGGAAGGATTCCAGTGTAGAATAATGTGGAATTTTAAAAATAAAAAAAAACTATATATACATATCTAGAGATTGTGAGTTTTTTTTGTTTTTATTTATAATGAAATTCAAGGCATATATAGAGAGAGGAAGAATTTACGATTGATTTATTTTATTTATAAATTCTAAAATTTTAATTGTTATTTTAACATAGAAAAAATATCTAATTTTTTTTATAAAGTAACTTGAATTAGTACATTTAGCAAGCTAATTGAAATACTTATGCATTCCATTGTTTTTTTGATTCTACTACATTTTTATTTAGTTATTAACATCTACTTAAGCATTTTTATATTACTTTCAGATTAAATTTTAAATTTTTTGATTATATATATATACACATACATATATATAAATTTTAAAATTTTTAAACTATTATTTTGTCTATTTTTGTAACATAATTTAAGATGTTATATTTTATTACTCCTCAAATATGAACACGAGGTGTAGAGCATGAGACTGTGGTGTAAAAATGGTTCTAGTGTGAAT